TCGAAAATTTGGAGGTTAGTATCCTTATCCTTCCAAAGTTGTCACTGATGAAAAAAAAAAAAATGAATACTGTAGTAAGAAATCTTAATTTAGAAATTAAAAGTCCTTTTCCTTTTCAAAATTTATCAAAAATCAAAAATTAACAACATTTTTACCCCAAGTAATTAGTTGGTTACTGTAAAGTAAACAAGCAAGTGTTGTAAAGTAAACAAGTTAATCCAGCATTCTTTTTCAATGGTTTGCATAACAAAAGGATCAGTTGAATTTTAGCCAAACAGTTTCTCTCAGCTGTTATATACCACACATCAAGGTTAATTTCTTTCCATCTATGAATCACTATTATAACTTCCTAACTTCTTTGTTGATCTAAAAAAATATGTCATGCATGGTAGGGTGACTGTGCATATTGCAACTTGTCCGTAACATATATTATTTTTTCGTCCTTTTTTATCTAGTTTCCCTATAACTATAACTAGTATAAGCTCCTTGGTTCAACTGAATATGGAGTCAACTGCATAGGTTCTTATAAAAGAATAAAAATTGTCTTTGATTTTCTTTTCAGTCATTTAGATAATATTCAACTTCAAGTGCAAGTGTGAATATGAGTGTAACCAACAACGAATGATCCAATCACATGAACTGGGTATCACTCACTCCTCAGTCCATTGTTTTGCCCGATTTGATGCAAACTACAAATCAGGGCTCAAAATACTGAGGGTACACCAAAAATTGGAGCTGTACACCCAATCTTTTTCTGAGAGCACCCAGATATTCAGATTTTTCTGGTAGCCCAATGTTGAAGAAGAAACCGATAGTGATTTTTCAAAGTCAGAAGAAACTGCCAAGAAGCCAACCTGGCTTTTAGTGTGAGGCTTTTTAACGCCATCTAGTAATCTTGTTTTATATAGTGCACCCAATGTCTTTTATGCACCTAATTGTTTGGATGCGATTGAACGCAAAGTTCATATGCCAAATATACCTGACTAAAATATGGGTAAAATTTCTCAGATAAGACACATTTGTTGTTATTTAGTAGCCTCCACCAGGCTTTTCTGTAGGAATACGGATTGTGGCATATGTATTTTGCCAAGAAGGATTAGCCTGGGGAGTCTGCAGAAGGCTGTTTCTTTCCGGATACAATCCAGTTAGACTTAGAGTACTCTGGCCTCTGAAGTAAAACCCGAAGGTGGACAGGCCAAACTAGCCTGGCAAATATTCTCGTAAATAGTCTGGTACTAGTGGTAGAGACTACAGTACATGTACTAGTAATTATTTTGGTCTAACATCATTTAAAAATATCTTTTACAGACCATCTAAAATTGAACTGCTTTATTGGACAATTATTTTGCATTTGTTAAAAAAAACTTTGATTTACGAGTACTTTTCAGTCTTTTTAGGTTCTTTTCCTATCTTTTCCTATCCAAGGGTTCTAGTCGACTTGTACTAGACTTTTGGTGTACCAGGATTTCAGTTTTCACACAACCAGCTACAGTAACTCATTGAAATGCTAATGACTGGCTCCATGTCCTAATGAGTTCCTATTGTTTGCTCAGACATTGTTGTGTTATCAGATTATGCTAAATTATCTCAGGCCAAAGTCACTTCAGTGCAAAATAAAATTCTAGGGTGAAAGTTCAGGACAGTCAGGTTTACACAAAGTCATTTGATTTGCTGAAAGAATTTGCTGAAAGTTGTGATCTAATTTTTAGAGTACAGTAAACATGTTCTTTACAACACTGAAGGACTGAAGGTGTGGGCTAAGGCTAGTTTGAATTATTTTCATAACCAATACTCTGATGCAGTTGAGCAAAACAAGGAGGTTAGAAATAAATTTTAACCAGCTCCTTGTTTAATACAAAACCTCCTTTTATTTCCTTTTCAGTCCATTTAGGTTCTTTTCAAGCCAAACCCAATGCCAATGGACCTGGAATCCTCAGTTTTAACACAACGGCGCTGCTTGAACAAACAAAGTCCCTACAGGTTCCCATGGTTTTCCCCACCAAACCAGCTAGGTTCTTCATAGGTTAAGTCCGTTGAATTTCTATTTGCACTGACAGAGCATCATAAAAATATCATATATATAGTCCCATCTTTCATAAAAGGACAATGCTATAGAGCACGGGTAGACCTATAAAACTGTACATTGATTGTCATACAACAAGACAATGTCATGAATTTCTACCAAGTCATATTTTTCATCCCTGACAGAACTCAGGGTTCAAAATACCCACTCTCACACTTTTGCAAACAAGTCATGTTTTCTGTGTGAGACTTGAACATGGAAACCTCAGGTTGCCTGGCACAACCCGCCTGGCATGCAAGCTTATTATTTTGTCAAGCTTATCTTTTTGTAACCCTGATGAAGGTAACTTAGACATCCAGGTAAACAATATTCAAAGACGAATCAAACTTTACTACTGGATAAATTATCATGGAGATTACTTCAGGACATTTCCAGGAGGCCATCTATAGGTGCAGCTACAACTCCACTAACTGGAAGGGAGGATTTCCCATAGAACTCTCCAGTACATGCAGTTGTTCCTGTGGTGTTGTATTAGTATTACCATAATCTACCTTATCATCATTTACATGACAATAAGTGACACTTATGCGTCTTTCACTCTTTGTTCAACTGTTTTTTCTAGTTCCTCCAAGTGCAGTTTAGTGCCACTGAAGAAGAGTGAGAGCTGTTTCAACTTGAAATGTCCCAAAGTAATCTCTGGAAAACCATGGCCATCTTGTACTGATTTGTTCCGCATGTCTGCTCAGTCCTAAAAAAATTGCATTGTGCATTTTCCCTGTGAGGAATTTGTGCATTTTTTTCCCTGTGAGGAATTCCTCACAGGGAAAATGCTCAGTGCAATTTTTGGTGCTTTTCTTCATACAATCATACGATGCCCAAATCTATGGTGGAAGCTTAGTTCAGTCGCCTCATAGTGATGTTAAATGCTGAAAAAATTAAACTCTCCAAACAAGTTACATTCAATAGTCATCTCATGCACTAACGCTCAAAACTCAAAAACGCACTAGTAATTGCCTAATTATGAAAAAGGCAGGTATATTAGGACAAATCTGGACTGGACAGGGGGGTTGGGTCAAACAAACCTGGAACGGAAAGGGGGGTTGGGTCAAATAAATCTGGACTGGACAGGGGGGTTGGGTCAAATGAATCTGGAACGGACAGGGGGGTTGGGTCAAACAAACCTGGAACGGACAGGGGGATGGGTCGAAATAATGAAATTGGACCGGACAGGGGGGTGGGTAAAAAAATTCTGGACTGGACAGGGGGGTTGCGTCAGAAGCTGATTTGAGACCTCTTCCACCCCCCTCCACATTTATTTTTTGGAACAGCCCATTATGTGTCACAGAGATCTTTCAACGCGCTGCACTGCACTGGGGAAAAGAAAGATCAGCTTTATCTCATGAAGAAAATGTGTCCCTGTCCTGTTATTTAAGTGTCTTTAGACCAATGACATCCATGCCTTGTTTAGACAAAGTAGAGTACTTTTGTGGGGAGGCCGGAGGGGTACAAAGCAGACGCATGTGGCACCGTGGCACCATGTGCTGTTTAAACTTACGAGAAAACGGCGATAATACTCGACTGGCTGGGCTGTCCTGAAACACAGATCGAAGTACAACACATAAATTATTGTTTACACCTATCAGCCGGATTAATGAATGCACAATGAACCAAAAATACAAATATTTTGAGGAAAAATATGCTCTTACTTGAAATCTGCCGCCATTTTGAAAAGTTACTGAGGGTTGTTTTCTAAAGTACTTTGTGATTGGCTGACCTTAGAATCTTTGTCCAATCACAAGTTCTTTCTCTTTTGCCGTGTGATTTTGCTCGATTTTTCAGTAAACGTTGTAGAATATTCGACGCCGTACTTTCTGCGACACGTCTTATAAACTAAATAGTCTTGGCTTTAAATTTTGTTCCTATTGAGAAAACAACATACCTTTCAAAGATTTAAATATCTTCAAATTTCATTATTTCTATATTACTATCATCGTCGGGATCGTATAGCGACTAGTAGCAAATTATAGCGTTTCAAGAATCTCTGCCTCGGGATAAAGTGCTATGTTCAGTACAATCAGATTTGTCCGGTGGTCACAGCTGATCGGAGACTACACAACCTGACAAACAAGATGATAGGTTTAGATTTTCAAGTCTTACTTTATCTTTTCGGTGGTGTTGCTGCCGTGGCGACGCTAGCGGTACGTATATGTTAAAGTATAGCTGATAAATAACACCATACAACAGTTGCAAGCTGATGCAGTTGTGGCAAAAAGTTGCATCAGTTTCACACGATCAGCTGATCAGAGTTCTGCAAACGAAGTGATTTTTGCTATCTACGAGAGCGTCTTATCCGCTACTAAGTATTACTAGCTGATCACTGCTTTTCAACCTGAATAGTTTTTCCCAAGTCTTGGTCATGTGTATAATATGAAACGATGTATGAAAACTACAGTGCCTGAACAAATTATAAGCAACGTGGCCAGCTAGCTACATGTATGGTTTGATCATTTACATAGGTTTTGACCTTTAGCATGTGTTTACGACTTGTGTTGAAAAGCTCAGGAGTCGCGGTCATGATTATTCTATAATAGTCTCTAAGATATGATTATTACATATGTGTAGTACATGTAGTTGCTAGATGGTAGTCTCACTCTCAGCATGAGTGCTCCACCTCTTCATTTCAAAATCAAATTGAGGAACCACAAGATGTAACACGAGCAACTCATGCAGGGCCACATTCACTTGTACATGATTACATGATAAGGCTAACAAACATGCAATATTGAATATTCTGTATATTATAATGTAAATGCAACATTACACAAGTCATCTCAGCTACATGTAGGCAAGGTGTTGTCACTCCTCCTTCTTGTGCTCAGTCAAATAACAAAATTATCAAATCAAAATAATTGACAATAAAGTGTATTGATTGATATCTCCAATACCTTACAATTGACACCTTCTCTTTTTCAACTTCCCACTCCAAATAGATAGTGTGTTGCACTTGATGTTCATCCATGCATGATGCTGTACCATGTAATGTATCATTCAACTTCCAAACACCATGATGATTATCATCTTACAGACCTGATGTAATTTATGCATCAATATGCATTTTTATTATCATCTTGCAATATAATGACTGTTATTCTCTCTTTTTGTGTGTTTTCTGTCGCCATGCCTCCCTCCTGTCCTGATGAGTAGGTTGTGGTAAGTACAGAAACTGAACAATTTCCTGGTGAGGTGGTGGGCTTTCCAACTAACCATGTTCCATACTAACCCCCATGGTTTCTTGTGTCTTACTGGTAGTATAAAGCATTTCTTTCCTGTTTGTTTCTCTGTTTGATTCTGTCTTCTAATACTATTAGTATATGATTCTTCCGTGAACAAACCTGTGTTATTAAGGGTTCCTGACAACTTAATAATTTCTAACCACACAAGTTTACCTGCACTTTTGTTTTGTTACTGTTTGTGTTTTTGTTCCACATATATTTTTCATAATGTTAACTGACATCTAGAATTAGTTTGTTACATGTAGCAATACAGAAATTCAACTTTTTCTCTGTCACACAGTCTGTGTCATTTCTAATTCAATCCAGAATTTTGCTTTCTGTACTTGCTACATGGATCTACAAGTCAAGCTTGTCACAGGTACAGTATAGGCTTGACTATACATGTTTTACATTATACTAGATAGCACAGATGCACAAGTAAATAATTTCCTTCTTTTCCTCCAGGGTCTGATAATCGTGCGACTGTCCTCCTCCCCTCCTGACCTGTCCAGACATGAGACAGAGAAGTTTTTCTGTGATCCGTCCAAACCTGGGTCCAAACTTCCCTTCCCAAGCATCCACGACAAACCAACACTGGACCTGTCTGTCATAGTGCCTTCTTATAATGAAGAGGAAAGATGTAAGTATGGCATTTGTGCGGAGTACTGACCGTACTGTTAAGGTACAGGTCTGGACCTATGCACCTATATCAATACCTGTATCTGTATAGCCAGTACAAAAATGTATAACCACCCTTTGGCATAGCACACCAGCTTCACAGGCATGCAACAGCTAGCTATATTACACCAAACAACTTGTTACACTCAATCATTGCACATTGAACAACTAAAGATTAAAAAATCCAGTGTCTCAGAGATAAAAAATTTGACAATTCAGTGCTTTGAGAAAATTGTGTAAATACTCTGTTGCTAAATGTTGTTGTCTTCTTCAGTACCAGGAATGCTGAAGGAAACAACTGAATTCCTAGAAGACAGGCAGGTACGTGAATCAGTAATGCCCTTCTTGTTCCTGTAACTGTGTAAGCTTCTTACTACATGTATTTGCCATATATTCTTTTCTATACTCTATCTTCACATAGTACAGTCAGCAGTGGAAACAGTTTAGTACTAGACTCAAATGTAAATAGTATCATCTGTAGAATCATTCCATGGAGTGACTACATAATAAATATTAAGTTTGCCACAGTTTTGATACAGATCATGTTGTATCAGCTCGTACGAACTTGTCATCATCTTTTTTACCTCCGGGGAAGGAGATATCCTTCCGCGAGGAGCTTTTACTATGGTTCGAAACATTTCTGTCAGCAGCTGTTTCTCACGATCGGCTGGACGGATTTGTCTGTGGTTCGGTATACGTATTGCTATTGGATTTTTGTTTAATTGCATATGTGTTTATGGGCGTCGAAATAAAAGGTTTTTAAGTGCTCCGGACACCCCCGCCATGCTGAAAATGGTAATTACCATGTTGTTAAGGAATGGGGCGGTTGCAGTTTTGGGTCTTAGCATTCAAAAGGGGTCAAACAGAGGGGTGTCTGGTTCCGATAAAAATTTTGGGTGACGGCGCAGCAATGACGGCGCGGGATGACGGCGGGGGTAATGGCGCGGGTGACGGTGCAGACTGTCAGACACGTTAATCAACAGTCCATACCGAACCAACCGTCAGTAGCCATCAAACACATACAAACATATTACGCACATAACTTTCATACTACACACAAACAAATAACCTAAACCAATAGAACACAAAAAAACCCGGAGGTTTGAAATCTACGATTTCCCTTGTTCTTTCTATTTCTTTGTAGAAAAAGCAGCCAAATTTTACCTATGAAGTTATAGTTGTTGATGATGGGAGTAAAGACAAAACCACTCAGGTAAGTTTTGTTGTACAATTTATAGATACGAGTATTGTAAGTCAATATGTTAGTTAATTAAAGCTCACATTTTCTCACTGCTATCTTATTTGCTTCATTGGTAGATTTTATTTGGGGAAATATTTTTACTCCATTTTCAACTTATCTACATAAAGTAAAAGCTTTGTTGATAATGGTGAAATGCACTGCACTTCCACCATCTGATACAAGGTGGCGCTCATGATATGCACAATCTCTCTAGGCTGGCCTGGAGTACAGCAAAAAGCTGGGCGTGGAGAAAGTTCGAGTTCTGACATTCCACCACAACAGAGGCAAGGGTGGGGCCATCAGACTAGTAAGTGATGAAGAACTTTCATGATATAAAATAGTTTATTGTTATGTGGAAGACCATCTCTATGAGACATGTTAAAATACAGACTTAGAATTTGCTTTTCACAGATTTGGAACATTCAGAAGTATTTCTTTGAGCCATGTCACAGACCGTGCAAATTTATAACCAAGATTTTTGATGTTGTGAATAAAGTCATTCATCATTCATTTATTATCATCATATAACATACAAAAGGTGGCAACCATTTCATCTCAGCTGTTCTAATGCTGGTCCCATCCGCATCCCCCCAGGGCCTGTTCAGTGCTCGAGGTAAACAGCTCCTGTTTGCTGATGCAGACGCTGCCACAAAGTTTGCAGACCTTGAGAAGCTGGAAAAGATCTTCAAAGAAATCAACAAAGAATCTGTAGGTTTTCTTCCATCTGCAGTGTTACAAACTTCTTGTGCTGTAGACATATAATCTCCAAGCAGATCCTAGGGTGGTAAAAGACAGTATCAAATTTTCCAGGCAGTATCCAATCCCCAAGAGAGGGTTGATACACCACCCAATGATCTGCAGAAAGTTGCAAGCATCAATGGATACTGCCTGGCCAATTTGATACTCTCCTAGGATCTGCTTGTAGATTACTGTACTGTAGACAGTGAAAATGTAAATCATCTCGAATAAGTTTATCACCAACAGTTCAGATTCTACTGAATTATCTATATAAGTGTGACAATAGAAGGTACTCATTCAGGTACAAATGAAGATTTTGATTTCTATTTCTTCCCCCCAGCATGGAATGGCAATAGTGTGTGGCTCCAGGGCTCACCTCCAAGAGGAAGCTGTGGCCAATGTAAGCAGAATTTAGTTGTGAATTTGGTGTTGATAACTTGGGGCTGATGCCTAGCTTGTAGGATTGATATCTGTCTTTGTCAGTATAGTCAAAATGGTTTCTGTAAGCTTAATGAAGCATATTTTGCTTCCAAAGACAGCATAGAAAAACAAATGTTGTACTTGCATCACTCTGTACTGAATTGTGTAACTGAAATGTTTTCCCTCGTGTCCCCAGCGCTCCTTATTCCGTACGTTCCTGATGCATGGGTTCCACTTCCTGGTGTGGTTCCTGTGTGTGCGTGGTATCAGGGACACTCAGGTCAGTTCTACCAGATATAAACCTGCCAACAACAAAACATACATACGTGAAGGTTAGACATCCAGGTAATAAAATACACCAAAAAACAGTTACTCAAGCAACTGGATATGATTTTGGAAATGGTCAGATGTTTCAGGTAGCACTAGAGACCTGCAGGAGAGAGGCAAGATTATTAGCACAAACTACTGATTGGATGCTACCTGAAACATCTAACCGTTTCCAAAATCATATCCAGTTGCTTGAGTAACTGTTTTTTGGTGTATTTTACTACCTGGATGTCTAACCTTCACCGAGTTTAGCCTGTTGTAGCCTGATAAATATGACACATGCACAAATGAATAAATTGTACTCAAACACTAATTTTACGAGTATGCTTTGCTGATCTTCATTTCTTGGTCTTTTCTGTAGTGTGGATTCAAACTTCTCTCCAGAGAAGCTGCAATACGAGTCTTCTCCAACCTCCATGTGGAAAGATGGTGAGTCAAAAGAGCTGTCCTTCCTCTGGCCTTGAACTGCAGTACCAGTCATTACAGATAGAGGACACCGCTGCACAGTATGCTCCAGGGCATCACATTTAGCAACACACTTGTCCATCTTCATTTTATCTTGTTGGAACAGACCCGTGCTTGGAAATAAAGACAAGTGCCCCTGAGATTGCCTTTGGAGTTGGTTAATGATTGTAGATTCATCATCTTCACTCCACTCCCATTACCCTAAAGCGATCCTATAATGGCCGTAATACGTCAAGCCAGCCACCCTAATTCTGTGACAAGACCCCAATGAATAGTAAAGTATGTGAAGTGTCAGCAACTTTCTTTTTGAACGCGTCAGGGCTTACAAGAAAAATTTTGCCATCTTCCCTTCCCCCTGGGATACAGAGTACGCTCTGTCAGTATGTTCTCGCCCATCCTTGGGGGCCTGCATGGTGGGGTCCCGATAACGCTCCATGCTGAATTTGGAAACCTCTTGATTACGCTTTACGATAGTGGCTACAACGCATATACATGTATGTAGAATTAAAATGGCGGATATGCTCGATACAAAACGCGCCAATTACGCTCTACGTTGAATTAGAGCGGTCCTTCTATGCTCTACGTAGAATTAAAATGGCCGATTACGCTCTACAGAAAAGGGGCATGTGGACCCCCATCCTTCTGCAAGGCATCAACACTAAGACATAAACTACCTGTTGGAAGCAGAATTCCAATATCCCAACCGTCTGGACAATCACACCGCCCCATCCTCCCGGGCTAAATCTCAAACGCTCCGGCTAGACAGGTAATCCCGGCGGGGTACTCAGAACAAGGTTGGTGTCTAGGGTACCTGATTTTCAGACCAATCGCGAAGTCGTATGTTAGACATATTATATACGAAATGATGTGAAGTCGTAACCAGTGGAACTTGTTTGTCGCAGGGCCTTTGATGTGGAGATGCTCTACATCGCCCAGTGCCTCCGTGTTCCTATAGGAGAGGTGGCCGTCAACTGGACAGAGATAGATGGTGAGTGTTCGCTCTTCGTTATTTGTAGAGCTCATGAAAGAAGCTATTTTCCAAGTTACGTCGGTGAAGGTTAGACATCCAGGTAATAAGATACACCAAAAACTGTTCAAGAAACTGGATATAGTTTCGGAATCATTGTGGATTCCAAAATCATATCCAGTTGCTTGAGTAAGAGTTTTTGGCACAAGTTTTTATCGCCTTTGTTTTTACTTACTGTGGTTTGACAAGAGACTCGTTTCGTTGAAAGTCTATCCGCCTCTCTTTTTCTGCCTTTGTTCTGTACTGTGAGTCATCAAACACAGGCACGAGGGATCATTATGACTAGGAGTAGTGTTTAGATGAGTCTGGTCCATTGCCATGCACAGGTCTTCGGGGAGGGGGGCCAGACTTTGGACTCCAGGACAACTGATGCAAAAGTTTTAACAGAGAGGATTGTTCCATTCCTTCCCAGTTAAACTACCAGTGATCCCATATGTATATACAAGATACCAAGAGAGGTGGAATAACATTAGTTGCTGTTATTATCTGCATTTTTGCATCACAAAGAAACATGGGTCAACTTTCTACTCACTTTCTTGCTGCCATTGTAAGTTCTATTGATGAAACTCTGTCAAAGCTTGCCTGACTTATTTTAGAACGTTGTCCATTTGGAAAGTTTGTGAAAGACCTTTGAATATTCTGACCATCTTTTGAGAGCCCCAGGTTCTATGGTCTCTATAGTAAGTGCATTAGATATATACCATGTGTAAACCTTTTGAAATATGTGGATAAGAGTTTGTTGTTAGGATGCTAACATTCAAAAATAACTGCAAATTCTGTGTGCTTTGTTCATTGCTTGCTCTTCCTTTACATTCCTTTCCTTTCCACACACATACAGCTCAGTATCATATTTCCATTAACTGTGAAGAATTTATCACCCTAAGATATCTCATATTGCAGCCTACGAGTTGCCAAGATATGGATTATCTATGAGCTCAAACTTTACTCTCTTTGGGGCCCATACAGAAAGGGACCATGATATATGATACAATGGTGTTTTGTCATAGATTAATAGTTAACCTGGCATTGATGGAGACATCAAAAGCCAGCGAGCGGCAGTTTCAATGGATTCCTGGGCTGTTAACCCCCCCTCAACCTGCGTAATGGCATCAGTTCAGCCAAGTGCCATTGTTAACACTTCCGCTTGTAAAGAGATACAGACAGCCTTACTAAAGAGCAGATCAGTTTAGAGTGTGAATGGAGAACTCTCCCGGGGTTTCTGTGCACATGGATCTATCATGTTACTGGTAACGGTTGTGATTGAGTCGTACCTGGCATCCTTTGTGCTTGTGTGTAATATCAAAGGAAGGAATGAAAAACCCTTTATGCAGAGTATCGCATTAGTTCTACACATATCGATTCACGTGGGACGAGATTGTATAAATTACGCATCCCTCACAAGGCTCACGGGGGTTCAATCATGTCAATCACTGCGGAGAGGAGAAATGGGAAGAGAATGATGAAATTTGCGTTATTCCCAGCGCAGCAGGTGCTGGGAGTTGTCGTACAAATGAGAAGTATCTTCGGGAGAGGCGGGTTCTGTTTGGTACCCCGATCCGCGGGTGGGACCGAAATTGGAAACGTGTCCGCCACGCGACAGGCAGACAGACAAATGGAGGGGGACGTCCACCCTCCAGTATCAAAACATCGTTCCTCGCCGTCGCTGGAGCCAGCCGAAATCCCCGCATATGCATCAAGGTATCTCGCGGGATTTCCCAATGTATCTGGGACCACAGGTGCAGCGCGAGCCGGGCACTCTGTCATACTTCCGAGCATCGTGAGGCATAAAGTGCGCACCACAGACAGATGTCGTAATTTTCTGACTGCTTGATCCAAATGGAATGGGTTACATTTACCGGTATTTGGAGCTTCCAAGATGAAGGACTTTTGCAAATGGTAGCAGATGATGGCATTTCTCGCTACTTTCCGGCTGTAAGGGATCAAAAAGAGTAATGAAATGGATCCATCCATATTTCTCTGACAAAATGCCTGCTTTTATGTGATGCCCCGTGACCTTCGAAGCCCAGTTATTATCTCTCAGCTTCTTGTTATTGTAAGATTGGCAAATTCCGCATCAACCATACATTACTGGGACCGTACAAATTGCTCTGAACAGCCCTTTTGAGGGACATATATAGACCCCTGAAGCAATCACTGAATTGATTCAACCCCAGGTAGAAATTCTTCTCTGTCTGTATGGATCAAAACTTTTCTTACAGCCCCAAGTCAGATTATCCGAAGACCTCGTTACGATTCTACCACCCAAAAAGCCAAAAAGTTGTGGTAGATAACCATTATTTTTATGGACCCCAAATTCCCCAATATAACCTAATGGTTTCCTTGGTAGAGGACCTGTACTATAGTTGTACTACACAAGTCTATGGTGCTTAGCTTCCAGCCTTTTGTGGTAACCACTTTAACCGTGTCTTACATGGCGGTTATTACCTCTCGTTATGGCTTTGAACTGAACTTGGCTTTGAGTTGTTACGGCAGCTTTGACAGCCTTTTTCCAGGGTGACTGGATAGACTCTGAAAGCCCTCGTTCCATGTTGTATGTCAGATGAGACACTGTGGAGCCCACATTATATGTTATAGCTCTTCAGGGACAGGTACCAACCTCACGGCATGATGTGCCGACTTTCATGTAAAAGTCCTTTAGATATGGTATTGATAAGCTCAGTAGTGGTAGACATATAGACTGTCTTCACATCGCTGTAACGTCACTCCCGGGACTCGCTTGGCTCGCTTGATTGTGAACTTGTAAATGTGCCAGTAACTGTTCTTACAATTAGACGTCGTAAGCAGAAATGGATTAGCACGTTTGAATATTTGAAAGTCAGAGCTCTTTTGACTGTTTGATTTGGACTTCGATACCGAGATCGGACAGAGGTGATAGATGAAGAGAAAATTACTTTGTTAGTGGACTTGGTCGAGGGTCAGACGTGATGACAGTGATTTCTGGCCCTGATGTTATATTCAGAAGTCGGCTGATGAGATTCCTCGCCGACAATTGCACTTAATTCGTCGGTGTTAGCTTCGACGCTAAGCACACAAGGACTCAAGCCAGAATCAATATCAGGATTCAAGATTCATGATTCACGATGTCTTTATTGAACTTTTGCAGTGGACAACTTTTGAAGTCACTGAATTGCAGTCAATTTACAGTTTTTCACACTGACATATAATATTGCACATAATCTGGATTTGTTCAGTTGACAAAACTTGAAATAACTACAAAGAAATGTAGTACTGCTCATAAAATTACAAGTCTTCAATTACAACATTTAAAGACTGTTGATAAAATACGCACACATATTATTCAAAGTGATTCAATGTGGGGTCCCCGTTTTGCAACCTCCAATTGGGAGAATTACCAAAAATAGAAAAAAGACCAAACTTATATACCACACTAACGATTGTTCAAGGACTGAGCTTTCTCGCAATTTCAACCCAAGTTTACCAAATGTTTCATAATTCTTTCAATTGCAACTGTCACTCTTCCATGCAGTCTACATGTACATGTAACTCTAAAAGAGCCCCGTGGGGTTCAAGGTTACATTCCTAGCTGATTGCATCGCTTTCATCTCATGGCAAATATTGTAGCTGTCAGACCGAGAATATTTAATGATCTCCGGAGCAGGGGGTTCTCGCTCCTCTAACTAGTTCCGCACACATCACTGGAAATCAATTTGTGTTTGACCCCAGGATGAAAGACACAATTAGTCACTCTCAAGGCTGCCATTTAAATTTACAGCGGTGAAATCTTCCTGCAAAGCTGGCGTGGTCTTGGGCTGAAATTGAGAGAAAGCTGTTCTCAAACAATCATTAGCGTGGTAGATAAGTTTGGTCCTTTTTCTATATTTGGTAATTCTCCTGATTGGATGTTGGAAAACGGGGACCCCACATTGCCTCAAGGCTGGCATTTACAGCAGGAGTTGGATGAAATCTCCCGGCAAAGCTGGCATGGTCTTAGGTTGAAATTGGGAGAAAGCTCAGTCCTCAAACAATCGTTAGTGTGGTAGATAAGTTTGGTCTTTTTTCTGTTTGAGTAATTCCCCTGAAGTACAAGAAGATAAAAATGCTGACATTTTATTTATTTCTTTGTTTGTTTGTTGTGTTTAGGTTCTAAGATGGTGCCGGTGTTCAGCTGGCTACAGATGGGGAGGGACATCCTGCTCATCCGTCTGCGCTACATGCTTGGAGGCTGGAGAATCAACTACAAGAGCAAGGCACAGTAGAGACAGCCGCAAGCTGTGCTGGGCACCAGTGAAGGATGATTCTTAAAGCACGTCGGCAGAACGTACTGCACCTGCATGAAAACCGTATTTTTCACTGTCTTGGTCAGATTTTTGGTTAACGTTGCATCAGAATCTTGCCTGTTTGCAGAAGACATCTTTTCTGAAGTAACATTTGGAAAATACAGACAGGATGTTAACCGTATATACACGAATACAACCTTATATGAGACGTTCTGCCGAAGTGCTATGCACAATACATTACGGGTTTCGTGCAGGTGCAGTATGTTCTGCCAACGTGCTGATTCTTAATTAGGTAGATTTTTCAGAAAAGAAATGGCCATACACATTTGTATGTTGATATTGATTAAGTTGTGGTGATTTTGGTTTCACTCCTTTTCCTTTTTTCTTCCATGAATTACATATATGTGATAACTTAATGCTATGAGAAAATCTTTCCTTTTTGCAGTCATGGCAATGGGTCAGATGATATCTAAAAAATGATTATTTGATCTAGATTCTCTCTATTTTAGGGTCCTTCCATGTGCCACTGTATTGGTTACTGCAAACTTAAGAAACATCATTGCAGTATACAGTAAATGTAGCAGATAATTTGACCAGTTTTGCTTCAATCTTAGACACCGCATCTTTACTCAGACTCCACTCCACATCAACTTCCTCTCATTTGCCCAAACCAAAAGTCTTCGGCTTTCATAGCCTCAAGTTTCATAACAGAGATTAAGGGTGGATCTACAAGTAAAACTTCAGGCATTTAGTAACCAAAGTCTTGACAAAGATGAATATTCCAACAAACTTTAGCTTTTCCAAAGTCGTCAATCGAAATCGCGGCCGTTTCTCACCGGGGAAGAAAGGGTTGACAACGAGCCAACAGGTTTGCAATATACGAGGATTACTTCGATCCCTCGCAAGAAAAATACTTGCCGGTCCCGAAATTGTCAGCGTGACGAATGTTCCCAGGTTAGGATATGAAATTAAACATGTTACCCTGATCCACCTGTCAGAAAAGCACAAAATTAAGAGTGCGACACAGAAGGAAAGTTGAAGAGATCAACATATTTCTGCCAGGTTTGAGGAATGGTCTGCCATTGTGTTGCTGCAATAACAGGAATATTCCCTACCAGGTCATTCTTCACCATCTTGATGACAGGGTATTAGCGATATTTCACCCACTCAAGGAAGAACAGAAAAGTGGCAGCAGAAGTTGTGATTGATACAGACCCCTGCAAAGTTTCTGTGGCATTTTGAGAAATTGCAGGTTTCTCAGATCTAATAACTGTTTTTTTGTACTACCAGTTTTGTATGATAGATAAGCAGAGAAGTTCTGCAAGGAAAAATTCTCTAATTTCAGTCAATCTTCAGGAGAGAAACAAAATAATTGTCCCAGTGATTACAAAAAGAAAAATTCCTGATATCAAATTGTTCATTTTTCTAAAGAGCTAGTCTTTGATAGTTATTGTAAGTGATATTTTGGCCATTACCTGAGGGGTGGTTTTGGTGTGTTTCATGAAATCTGTCATATCTGGCACTTTGCTATGAATTGCTATAGATCTTAACATATTTGCTGTGCTTTTATTTTTGTGGTGGCCTCTTCTCTACAAATCCTTGACTGCAATTGTGTGTTTCCAATGTATTACTGCTGTATCTCAGATCTGTTTTAACTGCAAAAATAACAGAAAAATCAACCTCTATGAAAATAAATGGACAGTATGTTCACTGTTTTTGAACCACAATCACATCGTGGTGTATGGCAAACAATTAGATGGAGAGATTGTGATCCAAGGCGGGCACGCCTTAATGTGTTTCAGGTATGGGAGTTAAGGAATATTAAGTGTATTAGGACCATTTGCCTGCAAACATGTACAGCCCTGCCATAAGGCTTACTTATACTGTGGAAAATTTATCACCAGGTAAAGTCTTTATGGCCCGTCCATGGTGATTCTTCATGACAAAAGATATGAGCCACGTCTATCTGGATGTAGCGAAGATGCTTTCCTGTCATAAGCTGCCTCGTGGCAGTCGGGAATATATAGCCGCCGATAGGGCTTTAATTTTTCACCGGAGGTTATATATCATACTACCAGAAACTGGGATGATTTCTGGCAACAAAAGTTTGTGCTGGAAGTTGGTCCAAAGAGAGCTCTTATCAAATCCTCTATACATGATACGTTTTGTCTGTAACCCTTCTGTTACAATCCTCACCCCAATTCAGATCAGATCATCCCAGATTTATGTGTGGGATAAGCCTCCGCGTTGCCACGATAAATCTAAAGGCTTGATCGTGTCCTTTCAGTTGTTGACCTTCTGTGTAGGAGGTTAGGCCACACCAATTTAATTTGTTGGTTCACAGATTTGCTTGCTTCAATTTTTGTGATTCGCAAAAAAGAAAACATTTCAGGCTCTGAATCAACTCATAGATGCTCATATTTTGGCTCCAACAGTTGTAGGAAGTCCCTTCTCTTCAGAGTTGTTTCAGTTTTTCCATCTATCAACGCAGTGGTGTGATTGTTTGAATTACAAACCAGCCTAGTATGCTGGGCTGCCATGGTGTGCGGGGTGGGAACAGTGCTGTGTGTCTGACCTTGATTTCTGTGGCTGGAATTTTTTTTATTCACCCACACTCACTAGTTTGGAGTCTTCAGAGGATGTCATCCATAAAATTAAGTCAGTGTGGCCTAAATCTAAAGGCTTTATCGTGCCCTTTCAGTCGTTGACCTTATGTGTAGGAGTGACGTTAGATAGCCTGCCACGATGTGCGGGGGTGGGAACACTGCTGACCTTGACTCTTCCATTGTTTACTGGGAAGTAGTCGTGACATTGTGTTGACAATACCCGACAGGATAACAGATGTGCTGGTGTTCTCACCAAACCGACTACAGGAAGTGCCCAAGTTGTAGATTACTTTTCTTATCACTTTGACAACTTTTGATTGGCAAAACTCGTAATTTTGCTTCTTAGAAGCCTTGTCTTCATGGAAGTAGTCAGAAAACTTCTCAGCAACATCAATCAAAATCATTGTTACTTCAACAGAGGAGGTTTTTTGCCAATGTTATTTGTGATGTTGAACTTGCAAAAGCAGTGTGAGAGGTAGGGCGCAATTGGAATGATTTTTAGCAACATCCTGGTACCTGTGTACATGTACTTCCATAACCACCACCTTACCGTCTATTATATAGTTCTGATATTTGACATTGGTATTGCTTAGCTGTATGATTTAAGAGACCTAATGTACAAAGAATCTACTCTCTACAAGATTAAGTTTATTAGTTTTTTTTACAATTTCCTATGTACTCCTTTATTTTCCTGTTTCATAGAGTAGGATTGAATGACTTGCCTGATTTAATTTAAGATAGGAGAAACATTCCACAATGATGACTATAATCTTGAAATGTACATGAATATATTGCAACGATGTTACAAGTGCAATTCTATGTATTAAGCCTGTGCAGAATATGATTATTATCCACACCTATTGAATTTTGACAGATGAAAATGACTTTCAGAACACCACAGCAATTTTGTAATACAAGTTAAGTGCTTGAAGACTGTAACATTGTAACCATAGTGCATTTAGAGTAATGGAGTTATAATTCCAGTATATATTGTGCAAATGTGTTAATATTTGCTCTGTGATGAAACACAGTGTGGAATGAAGGTTGTAATGTTATGATTTCTCCTCATTTCAGAGGCAAACCTTCCTAATGTGTTTGCACAGGAAAACAGCAATCAGGACTTGATCCAATCCCTGAGATTATGAGATTTTGAGGCTTTCTAAAGAATAAAGTATGTGGATGAGATCATTTTCATTTCATTCATTTCGAAACCTTTTAGCCCTACTGGGCTAGTCTTCCAAGGCTCAAAGGCAGACACATACATACATTTAAAATGACATAATACAAATGTAAAAAGGAAAAATACAGTACACGCATTTAAAAAACATATTACATCACACAATCAACAATGAACACACAAAACAACATTACACATTTAAAAAGCAGAGGTTGCAGGTCTAGCTGACACTGTTTGGATAATAGCTTTCTTAAAGCTTGGTAGATCACACAGTGACTTAACGTGAGGTGGTAAATCTTTCCAAAGCACATTCGCACCATACAGAAAGGCTGCTGTTCCTGAGATGAGATGTGTTTGGTGATTCATGGTGACATCATGTTGTTGTATGAAGAGATGACATCATGTGTGTGCTATGTGCAGTAAGCTGAGTAAATATAGACAGATGGTGTGACACCTTAAAACCATACTTTTCATCAAGCTAGTAATAACAAATCACAAAATGTATTGCCACTTAGTCATCTACATTTACAACCTTTATGAGTCAGACAAAGGGGATGGTTCAATGCAGGGTAGAGGACTTGTAGAGGACAGGACTTGAAGATTGTTTTATATGCTGATAGACCTCTGTGGTGTTACATATGTACTGGATAATGCTAAACCGTCGCTCTTACAGCTTCAATAATCACGTTTTCCCCATTGTACGGTTTTGGCCATACTTATCATCTAGCTAGTAATAAGAAAGCATTATCACTTAGTCATCTGCATTTTATGACCCTTATGAGTCAGACAAAAGGGATGGTTCAAATGCAGGGTAAAGAATTGACTATCGTGGGTTGTTTTATAGGCCGATAGACTCTATAATGTTACATAAATCTCCCTCTTTCAGCGTCAGTGATTTTTTCCATTGTATGGTTTTGGCTATATAGATCTAGACAGACTAGCAAGTAACATATTGATCATTTCTGTACAATTCAATGCCTTCGCTTGTCTGCAAATTCCTAACGTCCTTCCGACAACGTTTTTCAAATCACAGAAACTTTCTAGCAGATATTGGACACTCTAAACGTGGAAAGCCATTTATAAACTGTAGATAAAAAGCTCTCTACCTAAATACTCTGACATTTGTGTCATTAATGTGGGTGCGTCTGCCGTGAGATGTCACACGCAAAAAAAGAACCGCCAAGATATGAACCAAATTTACTTGTCATTTTTGTCCAACTCACATGTAACGTTAGAGTGCCCTTGTACGATATTGTGCCCCCTCCTCCGTGTCCTTATACATGGATTTTAGTTACATCATTCCTGATGATGCATGGAAACCTGCTTTGCCCTGCTGCAATATTACATTAGCTTAATGCGTACGGAGCAACTGCTTGCCTCTGATAACCGGCGCTATTCAGTCACACTCGCTCCATTTTCTCCCCCTCCCTTCAACTGAACCGCACCAGATAA